ATTGGGGCCCAAGCAATTGATTTAATGGCCTTATGGTCGAGACGGCCCTAGTTCCACCATGGTATTTTTCACTAATGGTGATTTTGTGGTCAATTGTATTTTTCTAGTAATAATAGGTTTTTGGGCAGCCATCTTAGGTACAACTTAATTATTTTATAAAACTTTTTGTAAAATAAATAGGTTACAATTCTCGAACACAAGGATTAACCTCATAACTTAAAGAACTAAAGCAACAACTTTCTTAGAAACAAGTTCTCTTTGTTGATAATTTGTCACTTACAAAGCACTCCTTACAATGGCTACCATTAGCTAAGAATAAATTTCAATTTGTGTGAACATTAAAATGGTGCTTTATATTGTAGGAATAGCCTTTGGCATACACCAAAATAGGATAGCTAGTCTTGGTGTCATTGCCTATTTTACTTTTGTTATATCATCTCAATTCCCTTTCTGCACTCTTTGGCTTCTTCTTTTCTCTTCTTTTTTTGTTGGCCAATCCTAGAAAATTGAATATATTAATTTAATCAAATCACCAAACACTTGTCGTAGAAGACACTGTACTAGAATGTATAAAAAAAGTTTGGGAGGGGGCTGGTAGGGAGGTCGGAGTAGGGTGGAGTAAAAAATTATAATGTTTTAAATTTTAAAAATTATTTTAAAAAAATAAAATTTTAAATTATTTTTCTAAAGGGTCGGGGTAGGGTGTGGTAGGGGGTAGAGGGTGGGGCGGGGTAAAAAAATAAAATAAAATTATTTTTTAACAACAAACTTTAAATTATTTTTTTGGGATGAGGGGTGGGGGCTAGTAGGAGGGGGGGGGGAGGTAGGAGATTTTGGGGTATGTGTGAGTTAAAGAAAATGAAAATTTTCAAAAACAAACTTTTAAATAATTTTATGAGAAACGGGGTAGGGTTAGTCAGGGGTTTAGCGGGGTAGAAAAAGTTTGAAATTTTAAAATTTCAATTGTTTTTTAAAAATAAAATTTTAAATTGTTAATTTCTTTTGATTGGGGGATGGACATGTTTGGGGGTAGGGAGCCCGAGGTAGGGACAAAATAAATTATTTCTTTTATAAAAAGAAATTTCTTTTTAATGGCGAGGGTCAGGGTACGGTGTGAGGTAAGAAAAAAAATGCAATTTGAGGTTGGAGAAGAGTTTTGAAAAATATTTTTGTTAATTTTTGAAGTGAAGTTATTTTTCTTAAATTTAAGGAACATATGTTGATTTGGAAAATATTTTTCAAAATATTTAAGCCAACCAAACACGAGATAATTGAAAAGCATTTTCTGGTATTTATTTTCCTTCCTACCAAACACAACCTAAGGGGTCATTTGGTGTGATGGATAAAAGAAAATAGTCATGGGATAACTTTTTAGTCTCTTTATTTCTGTTTGAAATTCGTGTATCGATTCGAGTGTCGAAGTCGAAATCCTAATTGATAGGTTGTGTTTAAGTTTGGGTGTCAGAGGCATGTCTTGGGTCGGATATATGGCCTCAATTCAATTGTCGAGTCTTGCACAGAAAGTCGAGGTCAGGTCATGAGTAGATCTTAGGGTGGGATTTCAGATCTGTTGTTAGAGTTGTGTGCTAGTTCGCATGTCGGGGTCATGTCCTAATTCGATAATCGAAGTTGATTTTAGGACAAAAAATACTTTCTACTAAAAAAAATGTTTAAAATGTTTTTCATTCACAAACCAAACACTAAAAAATATTTTTCAAAAAATATCTTTTTTAAACATGAGAAAATAACTCATAAATCCACTTATTTTCTAAAAAAATATTTTTCATCAAAAAACATTTTCTTTCCACCCTGTTGCACGTTGTGTTGCCAAAAATATTAGAAAAGATGATTGAATTGAGGGGACTCATCAAGCAGACGTACAATACATAAGGAACAATTTAGTGGCTTTTGTTTAAACTGGGACCACTTCTTTGATAACTTCTATACTAGTACTACATATACATATGTATATTAACGATTCATTGTCTATTCATTGGTTTTAATTTAAGTTAATTACTTTTCTATTAAGTTTATTTAAAAAAAATGTTTATTTTTAGGGATAAGGGTCTGAAAAATATTCCAACTTTGGCCGATATTGTTGTTATGATACCAAACTTTATGGAGGACCTATTACCCCCCTGAACTATTTAATAGTGCAGTTTTTACTCCCTGAACTATTTAATAATATATTTTAAAGGTATATATGTGCCCACGTGGACACATTACTTTTTATAATTATGCATTATTTTTTATGTCCACGTGGACAAATATATATGTTTAAAATACGATATTAAATAGTCTGGGGAGGGGGGGGGGGTAATAGGTCATCATTAAAGTTTGGTACCGTAACAACAATTTCGGCCAAAGTTGGGATATTTTTCAGACCCTTATCCCTTATTTTTATATTTCATAGCTTTTTTAATTTCAATACTAATTTAAAATCTCAAAATTTAAAAGACTATACACATCTTAAGGATTTAACTTCTCTCCAATTTTCTCTTTCTCTATTTTTTTCATGTTTTTGTTTGGATGAGAGATACATGTCATAACTTTAAATCAATAGTTGAGATTTAATAAATTCAAGATAAAAATTAATCGTTATTAAGATAATTTATTTATTTATTTGATTTATTTTGTTTATTTTCTTAACCCCACCATTGTAGTTGTACATAATTCATTTCCTAAACATATTTTAAAAACTTCTTACTTGCCTTTATTTTTTTCCCCACTTTTTGCGTCCCAAATTATTTCTAATCTATTTGATTGCTTCGGAAAATAATTGCAATGTTTGAAGTGAAGATAAATTTGGATTCTCCTACTTTTAAAAAAATATACTACTAGAATTTAGTGTAACTTTATTTTTCTAGACGGGAACATATTGTAAATACTGTAACAATTAAATATCGAAATATTTTTTAAAAATAAATTTTAATATAATAAAGAATAATTGAAAATATAATCTTAAGCCTTCAACTTCTCGGATTGAACTGCTTTAAAAAAGAAAAAAGAAAAAAAAATTAGTAGCTAGAATTATGGGATTGTCTTATATTTTGGGAGTAAACATATAAACTATTGGTTAACTTAATCATGGTTAAGACTTATTTTTATTTTATTCAATCACAACTATTGATTTAAAGCTATGACATGTGTCACTCATCCAAATAAGAACTAGGAAAAAAGGAGAGGATTCGAATCCACATCTCAATTTAAGAGCACACGATTCAAAAGTTTCTCTTTATTTTTTAAACGAAAAATGTTTTTTAAAAAATGCCCTCAATTTATTAGAATTTTTTTTAAATAACATTTTTCCATCTATTAGATCAAGTATTTCCTTCCTTTCACATGTTAGATAAAAAATTGTCCTTAACCTACTAGAAATGACTCAAATTCACCCATCCTTCTAACTATTAGATCAAAAATATCCTTAACATATTAAATATATATACTAGTTCTAATTATATATGTCAATAGTTTTTTATTGTACTTTCAAAATTATTTAGTTTTCTTTTGATTTGTAAAATAAAATTTTGAAAGTTTTTGGTTCTTTATCTAAATGTTCCTCTTACCTCATAGAAGTGCTTGCTTTAAATAAACAAAGTATATGCACTAACGTGTGAATTAACCTGAAAGTATATTTTTTAAAATATTATCTTAGTCACAGAGAATGAGAAATTTCATTAAACATGTATGTCCACAAAAATAAAAAAAATTCTTGAGATTTTTTTTTCTTTTAAGATGTTTCTTATGAAAAAGTATAAATAGTACCACTTTGTTAGGAGCCTTTTACTGTTTAGTGTGTTTTTACTATTCATCTTTAGTATTCGGTTAATAAAACTCCTATTGTTATGAGATTCATATCTGTTACGTGGTTTGGATCATTAGAGTTTGTTGGACTCATGAAACTTAGATTTAGCTTGTGTTAGTTATGTAACGCAACATATACCCTAGTTTGTTTCAATAAAAAACTATTGATCTTTCCTGTCATATTCTCTTTTGTAGTCTTTCCTTCTTTCTTAACATTTGGTATCAGAGCCCCGTTACAGAGTTAGAAGTAGCAGTCTTCGTGGTACTTTTTTCACAGTTACAACATGACATCAGAGAGTTCCTTTGTCCAACCAGTAGTATAAAAGTTTGATGGGTACTATGATCATTAGCCAATGCTCATGGATAATTTTATGCGTTCAAAGGAATATTGAGGACTTGTGGAGAATGGGATTCATGCAGCAGTTGAAGGTATGACAGATGCACAACAGAAGAGCGTTGATGATCAGAAGTTGAAAGACTTGAAAGCAAGAAATATTTGTTTCAGGCATCACAACAAAGTATATGCACTAACGTGTAAGACCAAAGGACATCACTAAGAATTCAAAATGACTGTATCTTGTTCGGAAGGCTGTTTTCGGAACATCAACACATCTCACCCTAAGTTGGTGATAACCTGACCTCAAATCAATTTTTTGAAAAGTAACTCGCTCCTTGAAGTTTTATCAAATAAGTCATCGATCCTAGGGAGTGGATACTTGTTCTTAATGGTCACCTTATTTAATTGTCGGTAATCAATACACATACGAAGAGATCCATCCTTCTTCTTCTTCTTCACAAATAACACCGGTGCACCCCAAGGCGATATAGTAGGTTGGATGAAACCCTTATCCAACAAATCCTTGAGTTGAGTTTTTAATTCCTTCAACTCCGCTGGGGCTATCTGGTAAGGAGGAATTGAAATGGGTTGTGTATCTTGCAATAAATCTATGCCAAAATCTATTTCCCGTTCGGGAGGAATCCCGAGTAAGTCATCGAGAAAGACTTTCGGAAAATCCTTCACTACGGGGACCGACTCCAAAGGAGGAACTCGTACTCAAGATCCTTGACCTTCATAATGTGATAGAGACAACCCTTAGAAATCAACTTATAAGCTTTTAGACATGAAATGATCCTTCCCCTAGGGACGGAATTTTCTCCCTTCCATTCAAAAATGGGTTCATTAGGAAGTTGAAACTTCACAGTTCAAGTCCTACAATGTACGAACGCAAAACAAGCATGAAGCCAATCCATCCCCAATATAAGATCAAAGTCTAACATATCAAGTTCCACCAAATCAACCAAAGTGACTCTATTGGACAATGATATGGGACAACCCCTATACACTCTTTTAGCAATTATGGAATCACCCACCGGGGTGGAAACCGAAAATGGTTCATTTAAGACATCGAGAAGCATATCAAACTTCATAGCCACCAAAGGGGTTACAAAAGACAAAGTGGCACCGGGATCCAACAATGCATAAACAGTAATTGAAAATACTTGTAACATACCGGTCACAACATCCGGAGAACTCTCTTGATCACCTCGGGATTGGAGAGCATAGAAGCGATTCTTTTTAGGAGCATCGGGATTTGGGCCACTTGCTTGTGCTTGAGAATTTTCCCTTCCTTGAGCCTTTAGTATAGGGCAGTCCCTCCTCATGTGGCCGCTCTTACCACAACCATAACAATTACCCGTGCCAACTAGGCACTTGCCTTCATATTTTCGGCCACACTTTGTACAAATAGGCTTCTCAACATAAGGACCACCACCTTTTGTTTCTTGAGGCTTGGGGGTAGACACTTTGCCTATGTTGACCCTTGGAGTGTTAGGAGGACCTTGATGGGAAAACCTCTTTTTGAACTTTGGCTTATCTTGGATTTCAAACCTAACCTTAGAAGAATTTCCATCACCGGCCCTTGACCTATTCAATTCTCTACCAACTTTCTTAAGCTTTTTCTCCTCAATTTGTTCGGCATGAACCATAAGACGAGAAATGTCCATGTTGGGATTAGCATAGCCGACCTACATTCAATCACCGCAAGATCGGATACTCCCATAACAATTTTTTTCATTGTAGCTCTATAGTTCTACACCAAAGTAGGAGCATGCTTGGAAAATTGAGTGAACTTGAGGCCATACTCCTTCACACTCATACCCCCTTGATGAAGGTTGATGAATTCTTGCATTTTCCTCTCCCTTAGTTCCAAGGGGGAAAAACCTATCACGAAAAGTCATCTTGAATATAGCCCAACTTATCGGACCCTCCCTAATAGGTCTCCCCTGATTCTATTGTTCATACCACACTTGTGCCACATCTTTAAGTTGATAGGCGGCTAACTCCGCCTTTTCTTGAGAAGACACACCCATAGCCTCTAGAACCTTAAACACTTCGTCAATGAATCCTTGTGGATATTCTTCCACCTTGGAGCCAAAGAAAGTAGGGGGATTCATCCTTGTGAAATCCCTTATCCTAGAAGTGGTAGTGCTAGCACCCTAGCATCCCTAGCAATTTGAGTGGCCAACACTTGAGTCAAATTATGAATAGTCGACCTTATCTCAACATTAGACATAGCCCCTTCTTCAATAGGAACTTGAGGGTTTTGAAGAGCTTGAGGGGGAATCGCCTCATTCACATTCTCCTCACCAGCCCTTCTTGCATTGTTCCTTCTTGTATTCATTGCCTATAAGCGCAAGAGAAGGATTAGAAGAAAAGGACTAGATAGAGTTAAGACTCTTAGGCACGACTATGGAGTAACAAAAAAGTGAAAGTTCTTAAGCATCTCGTAGCCTCCCATTCATAAGTCTGGTGCTCTTCACACCCATGAACAAGACTCTACTCGACGTGGTATCTTGTGACATGGATCCTACATTATTCTCAATCTTATGCTCTGATACCAAGTTTGTAACGACCCGACAGCACCCCCTAGTCGTTACCGGCGTATTCTACCTTGAAAAGGTCTTATACAAGCCCTTAACATTCATCATAGCATGTATCATAGAATAAAAACACGGAAAATTTAAAACTTTTACTTTGGAAGTTCAACTTCACTTCATATATGAAAAATAGAATCTAACTTCTTCACAATGTACCATCTAGACATAGAAGTATCAAAAATGGAACTTAGCCCTTACATTAATAAGAAGTCTAGAAATAGGAAACTACAATAATGTCTTTCAACATAAGCAAAGAACTAAACATAGAAGCTAGATCATAGTGTCTTGTCCTCAGACTTGAGGACTCACCAACTTGGGGAAGCAACTCCAAGTGTCTTGAGAAGTAATCTTGAATCCTCAACGGCCCGAACCTAAATGTTTGGGGAAAAAAGAGACAATATGGGCTAGTACAACACACGTACTAAGTATGGCTACTATGCATAAAAACCATTGAAACATGCATAAAAGGTCATTTTAGTCAAAACATGCTTTTTACCATGTAAATCCAATATGCACACAAAGTAAGCATCATAGTACAAACCAACATAATATCCTTCCAACACGCAACCCAAGTAATACTAGTGCAATGCAAGGAATAGAATCCCATAATCCTATTCAAAGCCAAGTATCACATTAAGCAACCTAATTCATGCATACATACATAAGATCATACTTCATCATAACTTACCATATTCATAATGATCATACATAACATATCTTCAACATACATAAGTTATAATCATCATAATAATAAGAGAACACTACTACAACCATCTCTTAGGGTCCCACAACTGCAATGTGCAAGAGAAGTCCCATACCCTCCCTTACACAATGTAGAAACCCTTAAGAAAGCCCTAGTAAGAGTTCACACCTTTCATACCTTCATTTAGTTTTACATTAGGAAGATATTGCCATAACCGACATAGACCATGAGAGCTACATGGAATCCGGTGTTCTACTCCCACACCAAAAAGAGAGGGTTAACACTTGCCTAAGGTGTTACCATTCGTACATAACTATCTATGTGGATCCACTAAGCTAAAGTCCCATGTGGGCACATAGTTAAGGGTCAAAGAGATTTCTCCTAGAAATCCTAACTTACTAAACGTGGGGGATTTCCATCTCATGACACAACATATACTGTGGGTAATCCGGACTTGCTAAACGTGAGGAAACCCATGTGGGGAGCCGAACTTACTAAACGTGAGACCCCCATCTTATTTACATGCCCTTTCGGTGCTAAGCATCTAATTCCCTTTTGTAATCATCTTTAGTCATCACATAAGTTCACATTAGCCTTTACTAGACTCTTGTGTAAACATCTTACCATAATAGCTCATATGTGTTCATAAGTGAGTAACAATCCTTTCACTTTAGAAACACTTAGTAAGTGAGTAACCCTTTCACTTTACATTACACTATAATCATGAGAACTACCTTTCAATCATATAGCAATCATACCATAACATACATACATATTTCATAGCTAATTCAAGTGTAGAGGGTTAAAGATGAGGAAACCAGGTCATCAACACCACAACAACACATTAAGTATAGCATCATTACAATCTAAGTAATTCACCTTTCATACTTGAGTTCAAAGAAGAACGAACCTTCATACCTTCTTGCCCTTCATAGGACATTCATACTTCAATCACCAATCAGTTCATAACCAATACATAATACAAGGTAATTCATGAAGTAATACATAGTCAACATCAATATAAACAATTGACATATTCCCTTCATAGCCTTCAAGGCTTCATTCAAAGACTCAACCCTAATTTCATAAAAATTATACATAACCTAGGGTAGAATCATCATACAAACATAAATTACATAACATCACATTCGATTCATACCCTTCACTCAATATCCAACACAAACTAGGGTTAGAATTAGGAAAATAAGGAGAAACATGGGTCTCATGGGGAATTCTTCAAGAAACCGCAAATACAACATAAATTCATTCATAATTGTTCATATAACATCAATCAAATTCAGTTTATAACATCAATTTCACTTTAGAAAGAAGACCCACGTTTTTGGATTGAAAACTTAGAAATTAGAGATTTTGAAATTCATCTTGAAGGGACCTCTTGGGGAAAGGAATCCCAAGAGTGATAAGCAACCATACCTTAGTTTATTCCTTGAGAATTAATGGATAAACTCCAAGCAATTTGGGAAAGAACCTAGAAACCCTAGCTCCAATGTATTCTTCTTCTTCTAAGGTTGTTAGAGAGAGAGTTTAGAAAGAAGTGGGAGAATTTTGATTTCAATTGGGTGTTATGTATAATGACAAAAACTTGTGAATTTAGACTTAAAACCCAATATATAATTAACCTCTAAAAATACCCAAAACACCCTTACTTAAATAGAACTTAAAAGGAAGAGTCCCAAAACTCCTAATTTAAATGGTCCCCGTCAGGGACCACAACCAACATTCACGGACCGTGAAAGTGCACCACGGGCCGTGGTACTGCCCGTGGTGTCGGAGGCGGTGGCTCCCCTTTCGTGCACAAGCCAACACTTGGCCAAGGCAAGACCACGGAGCCTCCCACGATCTGTGGTCATGACCTCGGTCCGTGGTGATGGTCTTGGTCATGACTTGGCCTTGTGGAGGCAAGGCCTTCAAGCCTTGGTGCCAAGTGATGTTCACGAGCCACCCCTCTCCCTCGTCAAGTGCACCACGGTCCGTAGTGGTGCCCGTGGTGCCTTGCGAAGTAGCTACCCTAACAACCCCCTACTCCTTAAAACCTAAGATAACTCCATGCCCACCTTCACGAGCCGAGAAGTGGACCACGACTCGTGGTCCCTCTCGTGAAGGGTGAGGCAGTGTTTGGGACACTTGGAGGTCCCTCGACCAAGGAAACTCCACGAAGCCTCCCACGTTCCGTGGTCATGACCACGAGCCATGGTGATGGCCGTGGAGTTTGAGGCAGTCGCTCCAAATTTGGGGCAGCCTTGGCTCGCCCCTTTTGTTTGGCACTCCTCCCTTCGACCTTAATTCCTAGACCACCATAGCACACCTAGATGGTCTACTAACTTAGGGGAATTCATTTTATACCTCATTGACACTATGTTTAGGCTCTAGTTCAACCGACGAAATTTCCGAGGTGTTACAGTTTGGACTCTGATGCTTACTTTGTGTACATATTGGAATTATTGGTAAAAAACATGTTTTGACTAAATGTCCTTTTATGCATGTTTCAATGGTTTTTAGTCAGAGTAGCTATACTTAGTACGTGTGTTGTACTAACCCATATTTTCTCCCTTTTCCCCAAACATTTAGGTTAGGGCCGTTGAGGATTCAAGCTTACTTCTCAAGACACTTGGAGTTGCTTCCCCAAGTTGGTGAGTCCTCAAGTCCGAGGACAAGACCCTATGATCTAGCTTCTATGTTTAGTTCTTTGCTTATGTTGAAAGACATTGTTGTACTTTCCTATTTCAAGACTTCTTATTGAGTAAGGGCTAAGTCCCATTTTTGATACTTCTATGCCTAGATGGTACGTTGTGATGAAGTTAGATTTTTTTTTTCATATATAAAGTGAAGTTGAACTTCCAAAGTAAAAGTTTTAAATTTTCCGTGATTTTATTCTATGATACATGCTATGACGAATGCTAAGGGCTTGTATAAGACCTCTTCGAGGTTGAATACGCCGGTAACAACTAGGGGGTGCTCTCGGGTCGTTACAATCATTCTTGTCCATTGCTGCACCACATGTTAGCGGTATCTTAATGGTTTCACAGTCTATTACCCTCTTTTTTTCGTCACCAATTCCTTTAAGTATTTGGCATAACCCGACATTTCAATCAAGGCATCCACCAATGAAATATTCACTTTCAAATATTTCACTATATCCACAAACTTTTGGAATTTTGCATTGTCATTTTTCTTCCTCAACTCATGCGGAAACAGAAATGTGATTTTGATTGGAGGTAATGGCGTTGATGCTTCGACATCACTTTTCATCACATTTTATTTCGACACACTTTCTGCTTCTTTCTCTAGACCGTGATCCATTTCCCCAAGTGATTCATTATCGTCAATCACCTTTTGATTTTCTACTTCGCTTGGCCTTATTATTTCTTGTAATGTCTTTTTACTTCTAGTAACAATGGCTGGATCTTGGAATGCATTCCTTCTTCCCCCTTTTCATTACATGGTTCACGCTCATTGGAAGAAGCACATGCAATGGTGGAGAGCTGCCCTATCTTTTTTCTAAGTGTTTTGATAGAAGCTGCTTGTGAAATTTGGTATTGGACAAAGCTGAAACATCACCCTTCATTTCTTGGATCGTCATGTCAGAATTCTCTACCTTGTTTAGAATTTTAGCCATAAAATCATTAGCATGGATCTTCATTGGTTCGTAATGATGCTCATAATTGTCTTCTTCACATTTTCCTATATTATACCTCTCCTCATTACCATTTTTTTCAAACTTGATTTCCAGAAAGCCTATAATAACTTGGCTGAAAACCCGTCGATGTTCCACCACTAATATTCTTCTCTTCAT